TCTTAGAAGATGCTGCTCCACCAGGCTTTATTCTACAAGTCATGACCTTTGGCCTGTCCTTTCCCTCTCCATGTCTGGAATGCACTGCCTCCTCACCTCCACCTCTTAGAATCCCTCGTTTTCTTCAAAGCTTAGCTCAAATGTCAGCCACTTCTTACTTGAGTCCCTAGCAGCAAATATCAGCAAGATGGATAGAGCACTGAACCTGGAGTCAGAAAGGCATTCAAATGCATCCTTAGCTATTTACTAGCTGGGTAACCCTGAGTAAGTCACTTAGCTTCTATCTCAGTTGCCCCTCTGTAAAATGAGGGTAATACTGCCATCTAACTCTCAGGATTGTTGTGAGGACAGTGTGATCTACTATTTATAAAGCCTATAAAAATATTAACTATTATTATTAGTACCCCCAAATTACTTTATATTTCTTTTAAATATACTTTTATCTATATACAGTTATCCCTTCCACATCAAGGGGGTATTGGGCACAGCACCTCACTACAACCTGGAAAATCTGTATAAAATTTTTGGCTTTCTTTTCTGCCAGAGAAGAAGTCTGAATTATTATAGTATTAAAAGATAAAATATGTTGATATCCAATACTATGCATATATTGATGCATTTCTGAGTTCCTAAACATTTTCTGTGTCTGTTGGCCTTCGAATGTCATCTGTGGCTTCTACAAAACTCCAAAAAATTCCCATTTAATTCCTTATGTTGACCGGCATTAGATGGAAACCTCAGTGGGGAAGTCTCGATGTGGAAGGGATAACTGTATGTTGTCTTCCCTATAGAACCTGAGATCCTTGAGGGCAGGGACTGTTTCATCTTTGTGTTTGCATAGCCAGCACCTGTCAAGTGTCTGGGACACAGTAGGTGGTGCTTAATAAGTAAATACTTGTTAATTGGGCATGAAGTAGATAATAAATAACTGGCACATCTAGAATTTTAAGACTTACAAAACACTTTCCTTACAACAATCTTATGAGGAAACTGAGGCTAAGTGATTTGTCTAGGTTCATGCAGCTAGTAGGTGTCAAAGGGAGGTAGTATTTGAACTCAGGTCTCCTGGTTCCAAGTTTGGATCTCTTTCGATTGCAACACTGCTTCCATTGTTTACTTTTATATATATCATCCTTTGGATGCAAGGCTGATGTTACAAATCCCTGTCATTAAGACATGTGCTAGGAGTTGTACGGAAATAGACTGGCTCTAAGCTATTCACAGATATCTTTATCTGATACCTTAATAATTCACATTTACATCATGCTTCAAAGTTTGTAAAGGGCTTTCTATACATTCTCTCATTCAGTCTCACAAAAAGCCTGTGAGTTAGATTGTGTTATTATTTCTTTATTTTCCCCAGGAGTAAACTATATTGAAGAGACATTTAGTGACTTGCCCACAACCACTTAGATCTGGGAGAAAGGCAATGTGTTATAATGGAAAACACTAGACTTAGAGTCAGGAAACATGGAATCTGTTGCCCTGTCTGCCACGAACTGGCTGAATGACCTTGAACAAGTCACTGTCCCTCATTTGCTTCTTAGTTTCCTTACCTGTAAAATGAACTACATGATCTCTAAGTTCTCTGTTATCTCTAGCAGTCTGTGTTAGCATTTGGTCTATGATTGGGTTTGGGTTCACTTTGTGACTCTGTCTGGTAAAGAGGAAGCAAACTAGAAGAGAAGGGGAGATCTGGTAAGAGCAGAGTACTGAAGTGCAGAATAGCCCAATCCCCTGGATAATCATGGTACCAATATCAAAAGTGGGGAACCAGGCCAGAGTCCTCACAGTCCCCGTACAGGTTTTCAGCTCTTCCCTGTGCATTTGCTAACTCCGCTGTCACCCCTCATTCCCTCCTACTCCCCAAATTCAAATCCCACTCATCTTTCAAATAATCATCTTTGGTCCTATCTTCTCCATGAAGAACCACCCATGAAGTCCCTTCCTCAGAACTCACTAGTGTCTGTATTACACATAAGGCATTTATCACACACTGTTTGCCTCCTTAGGTATTTTGAGATCCAATCTTTCTCCCCAGTATCTCTCATAGAACTGGGCACACAAATAAATAGTTGTTGATTAACTAATTGAAGAAGGTTGGTCATCCAACTTTGTACCAAGGTCTGGAACTAAAGTTTCACTTAACTGAGAAAAGAGAATCATCCTTAGGTACACATTTAATGGGTTAAGTGATTTTCCCAGGGTCACACAGCCTAGTGTGTGAGGCCAGATTTGAACTCAGAAAAATGATTCTTTCTGATTCCCAGCACTCTATCCACTGTAGCACTTAGCTGCCCTAGAACCCACCTGAATAGACAAGAGAGAAGAGCTCCTGATTGGGGTTGCCTCCTTGCAAACACAAAGCACCTTTTGATTTCTACTTAAAACTGCTGGAAAGGTAGGCCAAACTGAGGCACGCTCAGTGAAGCATAGCAAGATTAAATGGCCTTGCCCAGGTCACACAGTAGATCTGTTTGAAAGCTTGGACTGGGTGCCCCTGTCTCCTTGTGAGTAGAATATTATAGCTGGAATGGACCTTAAAGGTAATTTAGTGCAACCTTCTCAATTTACAGATAAAAATATATAGGCCCAAAAAGGGGAAATGATTTTCCCAAGGTCCTCCAGCCAAATTTCTCCATACCCATTCCAGTACTCTTTCTCTTGTACCTCATTACCTGCCTTCTTTCTCCTGAGCCCCTCATATCCTAGGGGTTGCTGGGTTTGAAGGTCCCTACAAATTGTTTTAAGGAGTGGAGGCAATTTATCAAATATTCTGTCTTGGTGGCTATTCCTCAGGAAAGAGGTCCCAGAGTGACTCGAGTTGGAACCATGGTTCGGGAATGTAAAATGTTATAACGCCGCGCAGAGATACATTGATGACCTGCTCTCCTTCCTCTTGGGCTGGTTCTGGTCAGCCCAAAGCAAAAATAAAGATGGTCCATCCAGGGAAACGTCATGTAGGAAAATAGTGGTAGAGCTGGCCAGAGACTGCAAGCCCAGAGCCAGTGAGGCTGGGGGCGAAGGTGGGAGGGGGATGGGGAGAGAAAAGGTGGAAAAAGGAAGAGTGATTAGCCAGAGCCGAGCCACCATTGTGGAGAGAAAGAGGGGTGGGGGCGCCGGAGGCGCGCTGCTAGGAGATAAATATAAAAGCTCACTCTCCAGGGTTCTTATCCTTAGCTCGGGTCCACAAACAAGGGCCGGGTTTGGAGAGCGCAGAAACTACAGGGGTTGGAAGGAAAAGGCAGAGGAGGAGTACTAATTGGGTAGCTATGCCCCCCCCGACAGACAGACAGACGCGCACACACACACACACACACACACACACACACACACACACACGATGTGTAATTAACCTGGGGAATTTACAGACACAGGATGTGCCCTAGACAAGTGGGGAAAGGCCAAAAAAAAAAAAGCAGGAGATTAGATATTGGTGGGAATAATTATAAGGGTGTCTGTCATCTGTAGGGAGGGTGGAGGGAGGGAGGGAGGAAGGGAGGAAGGGATGAAGGGAGCGAGGAGGGAGGGAGACACAGACACACAGACAGACACACACACACACACACACACACACACACAGAGCTGTGATGCGATATGTTTCATCTCTCCGCCAGCTGTACAGTAGAGGGTAGAAGGATAGAGAGGTAGAAGGGCTGGGGGCCTGATGTATGCGCCAGGCGGGGTAGGGGGGGAGCACCGTCTCGGTGGCGCCTGGTGGGAGGGTCGAGTCCGAGATAGGAGCAGCCACTGAGAGGTTGGGAACACCAGCCGGAGGGCGCTATCTTCAGCATCTCTCAAGGTGAAAGCTCTTTGAAGCTTGAGAGCTTGGGGACCCTTCGGGTTCCCCCGAGGCTCTCTTTAAAAAGTGGGGAAATGCTACGTTCTCACCCTCTCCGGTCCCCCAATACCCAGAAGCCACCTATTGCTGTCGGATCTGATTTGCCAGTCACGGTCCAAGCTAAATCCCCAAAGATACACAAACCTTGGAGTCCGAAATGCTGTATTTTTCCTGTCAGTCAGTGCTTCGGACACAGCTGGCTAAGCAGAACCGAGAAAGCTGCAGGTGTGTTATTCTCTCTCCCTCCCTCCCTCCCTCTTCTGCCCTTCCCTACCCAACCCCGCCCCCTCTTCCCCCCCCCGCGCCCTGGGGCTCCTGCGAGCAATCTTCGGATCAATCTTCCGATGCTTTCACTGCTTTCAGAAATGGATAGCAGCAGTGCTGCCCCCCACCCGCCCCCCTTAGGCAGTCTCCCTTAAACAGACCTCCTTTAGGACCTGGGTATTATTAGGGTCTAAGACAGGAGATGTGCATATAGGCTGTAGTGTGTGGGGTGTGTGTGTGTGTGTGTGGTGTGTGTGTGTGTGTGTGTCTGTGTGTGTGTGTGATTTAAAGAAAGGGGGAAGGGGAGATCACAACTCCAAGCATCCGGCATATTCCTCCCCTCCTTTGCGTCCCATTTTTCCTTTCTAGGATTAAGCCTCCCACCCACCTTCTACCCCCCCCTTACCAAAAAATGTCTGCAGCTTTCTTTTGACCCCGCACGCTAGTATTTTTGCGCTCAGTGCGCTGCTTCTGCTGATTGCTATTCCTGGCAGAGACCAGACCAAACACACACACACACACACACACACACACACACAGAGAGAGAGAGAGAGAGAGAGAGAGAGAGAGAGAGAGAGAGAGAGAGAGAGAGAGAGAGAGAGAGAAAGCACACCGACAAGCTTGCTACCTCCTCGGGGGATTTTTTTTAAAGAAAAAATAAATTAAAAATAAAATCCACAACACCACCAGTCTCCTCCAGCTTCTCTCAGCTTATGACCTGACGTCTCTATAGTGAGAACAAACCCCTTTCTCTCTTTTTCTCTTTCTCTCTTCACACACACACACACACGCACACACACACGTACACAGACCCTCCCCCTTTCCCACCCCCCATCCCTCTCACCCCCTCCCTAGCTCCACCACTCTCCTGTCTGGTGTGTATGTAAGCCGCCTGCAGCCAAACCCCAACATCACTGCTATCCCTGACATTAAAATGTTCAGGCTGGATGCTATAGGACCGTTTCTAATTACCTTATATCCCCCAGTGGCCCATGAGTAATGGCTACTGAAGGAGCTGGCAACGGTTGCTGAGAAGGAAGAGCGGAGAGAGGGCGAGAGAAGGAGGGAGAGTGTGTGAGAGGAGGAGGGGGAAGAGAGAGAGAGAGAGAGAGAGAGAGAGAGAGAGAGAGAGAGAGAGAGAGAGAGAGAGAGAGAGAGAGAGAGAGAATATTGTGCCATTTCTCCCATCTTTTTCCCAAGGATCTAATCTGGCAGCTGTGTTCTGGAAGAGGAGAAGGGAAGAGAGAGAGAGAGGAGAAAACACAGACCCACCGCCGGAGATCACGGAAGACCAGAGCAGGTATCGTTACAAGCATTATCTTTGTGTCTTTTTTCCTCTCAATTTATGGAACTCGGTGAGTTTATGATTTTCTCGTTCTCGTTCTCTTGCTGGAACTTGCAGCCCTCTTGTCTGATAGATTTCAGCTCCCAGACGCTGGCTTATTTGGGGGAGGGGTGGCAGGAGTTGTGTATTTTCCTTTCTTCGGTGTTTTGGGTTTCCATAAAGCAGCTGGGTGATTGCTGGCTTCGCCTGTATGAAGAGGAATTCTAGGGGATTTCTTTTGCTTGAGGGTGTCTGGTTGCTTTTTACCACCACCACCACCACCATCACCCCTTCTCCTCCCCCCCTTCAGTTTGTTTAAAAAAAAAATTGTCTTGGGAGCCTCTATCTCACTGGCCTGAATGAGTGAAGCTGACTGAAGGGGCAGGGCTGAGACTTTGGAAGAGGAGGTTTGTGATTGTGTTGGGGTCGTGGGAAGAGGTAAGAAGTATGTGGTCGCTGGGGAACCCAAGGCTGGGGGGGAAAAAAAACAACACGGTAGTTTTGTAGAAGTTGAAAATTCAGCCCAACTACTGCCTGCACTGGACCCCGGAGCTCCCATGGAAGGAATGTCAGACGAGCACTGTGGATCCTTGTTCTTATCGCCAGCCGGGGCGCTGCTATCGTGGGCGGCCGATCTGTTGTCATCCCCTAGTCCATTCTCTCCTACCCCCGCCTCTAGCCTATGTGGCCCTGAACTATATATTGCCCCACTCAGGTTGGCACTTCTTAAACTTACCGTGAACCTGTGACTCTACCTACCCTGATGTCCCAGCTGCCCACGCCACTGGATCCCGCTTCTCGTCTTTGCTTTGGGGCTAAAGGCACCACTCTAACCACCTCCTTTCAACCATCTGAGGTTGTGCCCGCTCTCCGCGCTAGTCTTCCTCCCTCTCCCAAGCTATCTCTGAATCTGGACTCCCGCTAGAGAGCAGGGCTTTAAACACTTCTCAAACCCTCGCTCCCCTCACCCCCACCCCCGTACCTCACCACCACCTTCTTTCATCCTGGTGAATTTCCTTCTGCTAACCCTGGTCCCCAAGGACCAATACGCCCCCCACACACACACACCCCCAGCTCTCAAACAGGAGCGCGCGCGCGCGCACACACACACACACACACACACACACACACACACACGCACACAACACAGCTCTGCTCGAAGACTGAAGTGACAATAAAATCCCCAAGCTCTCATGGTCACAATTTTTTCCTGGCTCTGAGTCAAAAACAGAATCAGGGTGCCAGTTGGTTGATCCAGAGTCAGCAACGCGTGTTTGTGTGCTTTTAGAACGTGGAAATGAATGAAATAATTGGAAACCTCTAAATCATACGCAGTATGAAGGAGTTGGGGAAGAGGAGGTATATGTGTCTGTGTGTAAGCACTTATATAGTGCAGTAATGCATAACTGCACAGGAAAAGCCTCGGTGACTGGGGGGCCGGGGGTCAGACAGTTCAAGCGAGTTTCCTTCTCCCCATGGAGGGGCAGGGGTTTGGGGGAAAGAAGAGAAGACAACTTCGGCTCCTAGGGGCACTGGGGACTCAGGCTGGCGTCCCTGGAACTGGAGCGGGAGGGAGGAGGAAGGTGGAGAGTGCGCCCCAGAGCTAAGGCGCAAGGAACTTCCTTAGCTGGCTATCACCATCGCCTGGAATTGCCAATCCATATAGAAAGCAACCTGAAAGGCTGCTAGCCTGGAACCCTAACCCAGGCCGAAGAGGGTGGCCCAGAAAACCCGAACCCCCATAGTCAAGACACGCAGTCTGCTTGGTCCGAGATCCAGGGTGGGGGTTGTGGAGAGGAGGGGAGGAGGTCTGAAGCTCAGAGCTGCTCAGCCTAGCTTAACTGCGGCCTGCCCTCCGGCCGCGGTTGGTGGAGGGAGTGAGGGGCGGGGGCGAGGAAGGCTGGGAGAGAACCGGAGGCGAGCGCAGGAACCAGGGGGGCGGAGAGTCGATTTAAATTGGGCTTAATAGATTCCCAGGGCAGCTCTTTCCGATGAAAGTCAAAATGGGAGGCAAAGCTGGACTCGGCCGAGGGAGCGGCGGGGTTGAATTCAAGATGCAAAGCGTTCCGCTTCTCCCACCCACCGCCCGGCCCCAGCTCGCCCGAAGCCCTCCCCTAGCTCCTTTAAGCCGGTGGCGGCGAATAACCCGGAGCCAGAGCCCCAGGCAGTTCCCGGGCTTCAGACAGAGGCCGAGTTCGCCGCGTGATGCGAGTGCCTAAGAGACCCAAGCGCAATCAGCAGGGGTCGCCTTTTCGGTGCGAGAGGCTTTTGTGATTCGGGAACCGAGCAGCCTTTGGACGTCGGCGCTCCCTTTCCCGCCTCCCCCGCCCCCACCGGGCAGCACACAGGTTTCAAGAGATGATCTGGCCGTGGATGGATGGCCGGGTTGGCGCTCCCTTTTACGTGTGTGTGTGTGTGTGTGTGTTGTGTGTGTGTGTGTGTGTGTGTGTGTGTGTGTGTGTGTGTGTTGGAGGGAGGGAGAGAAACGGTTCCAACAGGAAGGATGAGAGCTTAGCCAAAAAAGCTCTTCCCCTCTAGTCTCCAGAAGAGGAGGAAGGGGCAGGAATATATTGGATTCTTTTTTTCTCTCTCATTTTCACACACACACACGCACACAGACGGAGGCTAATTGGCCCCCAAAGTCAGAGTTTGACCTGACTGGCCCCACACACTGACATATAGTACCTCCCCAGAGTGTTGGAGAGGGACTCGGGGAAAATCCCAACCTCTCCAACCCCCAATACACACACACACACAGAGCATGAACGCCATGGACAGCCTCAGAGAGGAAAGAAGTCACTAAAGAGCCCAACGTTATTGCCTGGCTTCCCTCACAAACTTTGGTCCCTGGGGTAATCTGGAAGGCTCTCCTGGCGCTGACTCGGAGGCTCACAAACACCCATTGACTGGCTCACTCCCGGGCACTCTCCCACACACTGTTACAAGGTTTAAGAGCCAGGGCTGAAGCGGGTAGGAGGTAGAGTGAGGGGAGAGGAGGGGAGGGCAGGAAGGAAGAACTAAAAGGTGGTGAATTCGCAGTTTCTCCAATTAAACCCAGGGCGGGAAGACACCCCCCACCACCACTTTTTTTAAAAACTGTAATTAGAAGGTGGCTATTTTGATTTGCTCTGGAAGGTGTATTTGAGTACCCTGCAGACACAGAGTAGATTCTTCTGCTTAGGGACCGCATTCTCCTGAAGGATTTAGCTTCTCTAATAAGCTCCCTCCTCCCCCCCACCACCCTGACTGTGACTGTGGATCACCACCCCTTCTTAATTCATTCTCCCACCTGCATCTTCAGCTCAGTCTTGAAAATTGTTGAGGAAAAGTGTACTATTTCCATACCCTTGGGGGCCCCTCTCAGCCAAGGAATGGGCCAGATCTGTAGGAGCCCCACCCCCAGGGACAGACTCTCAAAGTTTTCACTGGGGCTTATGGTCACGACAAGGGTGATGTGCTGGTTGTGGCACAAGCTGCCCTCTCCTGCCAGCTTGTATCCAGCTCCCTTGGTCATGAAACTTGGCCTCATTCATTCTCACCTTTTTTCTGAAGGACGAGAGAAAAGGAGAATTACCATATCACATATGGGGAAACTGAGGACAGGGCAATGACTTTTCCCAAGGTCACTGAGTGAGTTATTGTCTCCTGGGCCTGGAGCCTAGTCCTTCTGGCTCCCAGCCCTGGGCTCTCTCCAGACCAGAACCATCATTTTTCCCCCTTAAGACTGGAAACACTGATCCCAAAGGACTCTGTTTTCCCATTCACCAGGTTCTCCTCATCATCCCTTGGACCTCATCATCCCAGAGCTGCCTTTCAGCTAAGACTGAGATCCTCGGAGAAAAAACATATGTGTGATAGGTGTTTACATGTGTATACTTTTGTGTATGCTAATGTGCATGGATAAATTTATGTTTTATCATGTGTGGTCATGTATGTATGTGGGTGTGTGTATGCTGACATGTACACATAATGTTTCCCTCTATTGTTACAAAGGTATATATGTTTCTGTGTTCATGTATAAAGATGTATGTGTCTATATCTGTATGTGTATATGCAGTAATCCCATATATGCATAATGCTTTCACAAACATCTTATCTGATCCCATTAACACCCATGCCCAAGGGAGGGAAGTTATTTTTTATTCCCATTTTATAAGAAATTGAGGTTAAGACATTCCCAAGTTCATCCAGCTAGAAGTGGCCTAGCCAGAACTAGAATCCAGGTCTTCTGACTGACAGTTCATTGCTCTTCTCAGAATACTCTGAGAATATGTGTGTGTGTGTGTGTGTATGTGTGTGTGCGCACATGCGTGCAGATTATCTGGCCAGATGTCAACTGCCTCCGGGATCTCTCCTATTTTCTCTGAGAGCACAGGCCAGGCTACAGGCCTGGAGAATTGCAAAAGGAGAAGAGTGAAGAAAGGGGGGGGATACCAGTTCAGAGGGCTGTGGAGGGAGCTTCGGTTGCAAAAGGAATGGTATGCTGTCAGTGACCATGTTGCAGCAATTCCTCTGAAATTCCTCTCACCCCAGCTTGAGAACTGGGAAGGATTTCAGGCCAAATGATAGTCCTGGGCACTCACCCAACACCCATCCCACTCCTTCCTCCTGCAAACTGCAGAGGGTCTAGAGTCTCACTGCAACCTTTTCCCTATGCCAGGAAGAGGAGGAGAATATCTTCCCATTTCTCAAAGGAGAAAACTGAGAGACTGGGAGGTGGAGTGAGAATCTGCCTTACAGGGAGAGAAGGTGATAGAGCCAGGAGAGTCTTGCCCATTGAGGTGCATCCAGGGGCCTGGGTCTTTGACGCTTGTGCTTCTGTTTGGGGAAATCTAAATTTGGGAGCTTGCCGTCACTGGGGAATGTCGGAACCAAAATAGTCAAGCCCACTGAATGGGGAATGGGATCCAGTGATTAGACCAAGGGACTTTAGACCACAAGGGGATAGATGGCTGTAATCCATCTGTGATGATTCA